TATATATATATATATATATATATATATATATATATATATACACACACAGATCTGGGTTCATATAAATCTGTTGCGCAGAGACAGAGAGAGGTGAAGATGAACAGTCGGTGGAAAAAATGAACAGCCACTGGAGAAGAAGATCAGCTGGTCACCATTTTTTGTCCCCAACAAAACTCGAATGGGAGACCTCATTAATTTGGAGTTGTGTGTTTCCTGTGTTTTCATTTTACCTTAGAAAATAATAAAAACATCATTTTGTTGATCTCTAAAATCACATCCCATTTTTCAAAATTTTCAAAAAATTTGATAACAGAAAGGTTGAACAAACAAGTTTTCCTTATTTTTAGAGTTTTGAGAACAAAAAACTGTTTTTGAAAACCAAACCAAACCAAACTAAACATACCCTGAATTTTTTTATTATGTGGTTGAAATCAAACACAACATGAATATAAAATAATCCAATCTAAATATAGGATATCATAACTTAAGGATACCACTCAATTCACAATCCCATTTCCAAGGGTTGACAGCACATGTGAGAATGGCTCACAAAGTTGCCATATGGGACACAAATATAATTTCAAAAGTATTTGGGAATTTTCTCTCTCCTATTTTCCTAAAAATGAATACAATTAAAAGATTTGATGTAGTGTCCACCACTCTATCATCTTTAGATCTTGCGGATGTTCTGATTTTAAATTTTAATAATTATTTAAGGTCAGGTTATAAGAAATTTATGCATCATGAATATTTTAATCTTGACGTGGATAAATTTGCCTTTGAATAGACCAAAAAAGAGAATAATAAATGTACGCATAAATTAGCTTGGACTTCTCTAATCTTTGAATCATCAATCGTCTTATATGTTGGACAACACCTTCCCAATTCTACTCGCCCTTCTACTAATTGGCCGCACTCTCTTCTTACAATCCACGTTTGTACATTGAGTAACATCGTAGAAACTTAATATGGGGACCAAATTAAAAGTATAATTCAATGCATTCATTAAATTATTTGTGAATTTTAATGTTAAATAGAGTCCATGCTTCATCCAACAACTGTAATTAATTAGTTCGTTAGATTAAGTCCAAATAACATTTTTTTTGAATGTATATTACGGTTAAACTTTAGAGATTCTCATAACTAGTGTGTCCAAATTAAATGATACTCCATCCATTTCTAAATATCTGTCGTTTAAGGTTTTTACACAGGAATTAAAGAAACTATTAAATAGCTCTAATATGAGTAAATAATAATTACACAAGAATAAAATACTCTTATTCAATACGTATTGAGAAGTAAAGGAATATGAAAGGCACTTAGCCTCCACTTAATCTAATACATTGAAAAGTTAAGGGTAAATTTGAAAGAAAAAATATTAATTATACTTTAGTTTCATTAAATGACAAATATTATGGAACCAAAAAAATTATGTAAAACGACAGATATTTAAAAATTGAGGAAGTACTTTGTTAGTCAGACACTATTACAACAAAGAGGGATAACAAGGTTTGAACCCGCGACCTTAAAGATCCAATAGCGGAGGCAATGACTATTAGGCCCACCGTTAACCTCAAATTAAATGATATTATCAAATAGTATACTTTCGTGTTTAAATCAAATATTAGTTAATTTTAATAGGCCCATTTAACAAATTAATTGTATTTGGGTTAAATTAAAATTATTGTTTTTTTTTTCTCAAACATACTGAACATCTAGAACTCTTTTAGATACAAAAAATGTACTATGTCCAAATAGTTGCAAAACCCCAAAGAAATACTTCAATCTTACACCAATTCTAATGATGATGCACAAAATAGTCTAGTCTTGTGAATGTGTGATAAGGTGTAATTAATGAACAATTAATAAGGTAATTAATGACAATAATATAAATATTGAGTCAATATACAAATATATAGTGGTTCGATTCGAGTGACCTACTCCACTCTAGGAAACGGCAACGGTGACCAGGGGTTCTTTATTGATCAAGTAAGGTGAATAAGAGAGAGAGTAATGGTTATGGTTAGCTCTGGGAGTGATACAATAATTAGGAGAGAGAAAAATTATGTGTGTGTAGAGAGGTGTAGAGGTGGAGTTCAATGTGTCTTCTCATGTAGAGAGAACTTACAATTTATAAACATAGAGTCTTGGTTAAGGTGGTAACTTGAAGGCAAATGTACTAATTCTCCTGGTATCTACAAAAGGTAATTGTCATAAAAAGTTGTCTTGATTTTTGAAAGGGAGTATCCCGATAATTGTTCTTCATGTGTTCTAATTCTTTCTGGATTTCTTGAAATTTGGATTGGGCCAGATTTGTGAACTACGCTTGACCTGCCTTTTAGGTGACTTGAGCTTACTGAATTTATTGGGCCTCACTTGGTCAGATTTGAGATCATCAAATTTATAAACTGACTTTCTCAAGAAACAAAAGAAAAAACAAAGAAATTAAATTATAATGTGCCAGCTAAAAGGGTATGTCATTCAACATCGAATCAATTATATTTGATATTATTTGACTAATTTATTATTCGTTTTAATAATTTTTATTATTTTCAAATTCATTTATATTCAAATGCCAACACACTAATTGTAGATCTGGTACTTGTCGCATTGAAGATTACAACCCTTTTTTGTGGGTTGTGCGATTTTCTTTGATATAATAACTATTGAGAATAAGTAAATAAAGATATCAACGTCAAAATTAATCTTAAATAAAATAATAAAAAAATTATAACTAATGGTTTAACAAAAGTCATCACTTATATAACCGACATAAAATTACAGGAATAATACTTTATTGGATTGAGTTGATTTCAGTGTTTTACGTTGAAATATTGTCTCCCCAGTAAAAACCGAGTATGAATGTTTTTTAAACACGCGAGTAAATTTCAAGGTATAGTTTAAGTAATATTGACTAAAATGACCCGCGCACCCTTTCAGTGATGAAACCGAAAAAAAAGAAAAGAAAAACACGTGAGTAAAGACAACCATCGCTAATTGATTAGACCGCTAAAAGTGGTTTTGGGAGCTCCATATTCCCTTGAGAAGGAGGACTCTCTCTCTCTCTCTCTCCCCATAGCAACTCAAATAAGTAAGCTCCTTGTCTAGTCTCCTTCATTCTTTTCTTGTCTAGATTATCTTTTTTGTTATTTTTTTTTGATTTCTTGTTTGATTTTTATTATGTCTGAACCTTACCCATCTCTTCCATATATTTCTTCATAATTTATGTGACTTTTCAAGGTGTTTTTGACCTAACTTGTTCTCTGATCTAGCAGATAAGATTAGTGAGAAAACCCTAATAGACTCAAAGTAGGTGACTGTGATCAGAAATGGGGAGAGGAAAGATTGTGATCCAAAAGATCAACAATTCGACTAGCCGGCAAGTGACTTTCTCCAAGAGAAGAAACGGATTGCTCAAGAAAGCTGAGGAGCTTTCAATCCTTTGTGATGCTGAAGTTGGGCTCATAATCTTCTCCAGCACTGGGAGGCTTCATGAATTTGCAAGCACTAGGTTAGAAACAATTTCCATTCTCTCTCTCTCTCTCT